TGGTCTCTATTCATTCATTTTCTCACAAGTATTTGTTTAGCACTGCCTGCTGTATTCCAGGCACCATTCTAGAGACTACCATAGCTTATTATTTGTCAACCCTCCATTAAAATATAAGTTTCTTTTTTTTTTTAAGAATTATTTTTATTTAACTTTTAAATTTGACTAGAGAGGAACAGAGCGAGAGCAAGAGAGAGAGAGAAAGAGAGAGCGAAAGCAAGCTGCCAAGTCTGTGACTCGAACTGTGGTTTACCATGTGGAAGTCCAGTGCCCTTAACCACCATGCCACCTGCTGGCCCCAAAATATAAATTTCATGATGATTAGGACTTAGCTTATTTCCATATCCTCATCTTCAAGAACAGTACCTAGAATATAGTAGTCTAAAGAATAAATTTATTCAATTTTTAAGCAAAAACATAATATATAGAGGGTGATAAAGAAGATATAAAAGAGGAACATTTGTATGAATAAGATGTTATTCATGCCTTCTAGTTACTCAAAGTTTAAAAAATGGTCATTTCGACCCATACTGCAGCATGCTCTCTAGCAAGTTAAAGTGCTACATCATTCTGAGTTGGGGATGTGAGGAGTGGTGTGTCGGGGTGTGGAGATCCTCAGAGATGCAGTGCTACTTTGTTAGGTTTATCAGTCATTTGCACTCTTTCTGGGAGAGCAGCGTGATGATTGCTCTGATAAGGCAAGACCAAACAGGAATTGTAACCTAAAAAGCCAGTAAATACAATTCGTGAGTGACCCAAATAAATAATCTTTAAAGGAAAAAAAATTAATAAAGGGGACAATTGCATGACCTAGTGGGTAAGGGAACTAGAGCCCACATGGCTCACCATGTGGTTCCAATCTAACCTCTGGCAGCTTGGAGTAAACAGGTGTGTGTGTGTGTGTGTATGTGTATGTGTGTATGCATGCCCCAAATCCCAGCAGGATGGAGAAATGGAGGATAGATGATGGCTTTGTGACTTGTACCATTGGGGGATGCTTTTTTTCTTTCTGGTGAGCACAAGTGTTCTCCTGCACTTAAAAAATAATAAAACGTATTTATTTCCTCAGTAAGAGAAAGAGAGACACATGGGACTAGCAGTTAGCATAATGGCTATGTCGCTGGACTCCCATGTAGTCGACCGTGGTTCGCATCCTGGACCCGGTGGCTTAAAACTCACGCCGGGTGCGTGTGCATGTGTGCCCAAGATCCCGAGAGGAGAATGGAGGAGAAGTGATTGCAGCGTGACCACCCCCCTGGGGGGTGATTTCTTGCTTTCTGTCTCTCTGTTTCTGTCTGTCTGTCTGGTGAGCACACGTGCCCTATAGCAAAAACCTCTCCAAAAATAAATAAATAAATAAATAAATAAATAAAGAGAAAGAGAAAGAGAAAGAGAGACACAGAAACAAGTAGCCTCAGTGGGATCCTCATGCCCGGTCTGGGGTGGTTTGGAATTTGTATATGATCCTGGCACGTTACATTTAATTTATTTATTTTGAGAGGTTTTTTGCTATAGGGCATGTGTGCTCACCAGAAAGGGAGAGACAGAGAGACAGAAAGTGAGAAATCACCCCCTGGGGGGATGGCCATGCTGCAATCCCTTCTCCTCCCTTCTCTTGGGATCTTGGGCATGCATCCACACATGCCCAGTGTGAGTTTAAGCCACCGGATCTGGGACTCGAACCATGGTCGACTACATGGGAGTCCAGAGACATAGCCATTATGCTAATTGCTGGTCCCGTATTATTTTATTTATTTATTTATTTATTTTTTAGAGGTTTTCACTATAGGGCGCGTGTGCTCGCCAGACAGAGACAGACAGAAAGTGAGAAATCACCCCCTAGGGGGGATGGCCATGCTGCAATCCCTTCTCCATTCTCCTCTCGGGATCTTGGGCACGCATGCACACGCGCACGGCGTGAGTTTTAAGCCACCGGGTCCAGGATGCGAACCGCGGTCAACTATGTGGGAGTCCATTGACATAGCCATTACACTAACTGCTGGTCCCCCGTGTTGTTTTTTTTAAAGTTTGTTTATTTATTTTAATTTGACCAGAGAGGAACAGAGAGAGAGAGAGAGAAAGTGAGAAAGCAAGCCATCAGGTCTGGGACTCAAACCATAGTTGGCCATATGGGAGCCTAGTACTCTCAACCACCATACCACCTGCTGACCCCAACTCAGGGTGGTTTTGGGGCATGGACCCAGGACTTTTTTTTTAATAAGAATTATTTATTTAATTTTAATTACCATTATCATTATTTAGTTTCCTGCAGGGTTTGCACACTCACCAGAGAGAGACAGTGAGAAAGCAGGCTGTCAAGTTTGGGATGTAAAACTGCAGTTGACCATGTGGGAGTCCAGCATCTTAACCACTACATCACCTGCTGGCCCCACTGACCCAGGATTATTTTTCATGCAGGTCTAGTGCTGCCACTGTACCATTGTCTGACTTTTTTTTTTTTTTAAGAGGCTTTGGCCTTAGGGAATATGCACTTGTGGGAGAGAGATGGAGACAGTGAGAGGGAAAGTGAGAAATCACCCTACCTGGAGGATGGCCACATTGCAATTCCTTCTCCATTCTCCCCCTGGGATCTTGGGCATGCACCACGCGTACCTGGCATGAGTTTCAAGCCACTGGGTCCAGAACTTGAACCGTGGTCAGTTCTGTGGGACTCCAGTGATGTAACCACTACACCACCTGGTAGTCCTGGCCTGACACTTTTTTAGTAAATGCTGTCTGTCTCTATTTTGTTTTGTTTTTTAAAAAAATTGCTAAAAGGCATGGGGCCAGCAGGTGGTATGATGGTTAAGGTGCTGGATACTCCCACATGGCCAACCACAGTTCAAGTCTCAGACCTGGTGGCTTCTTGCTTTCTCACTTTCTCTCTCTTTCTCTCTCTCTGTGTCTCTCTTTGGTCAAATTAAAATAAAATTAATGAATAAGTAAAATTAAATAGTTCTTTTGAAAAAATTGCTAAGAGGCATGTGTGCCTACCAGAGAGAGAGAGAGAGAAAGTGAGAAAGCACCCCTTGGAGGGATAGCTACACTGCAATCCCTTCTCCTCCATTCTGCCCCGGGGATTTTTGGCATGTGTACGCACACACATGCCTGGCAAGATTTTTAGGCCATTGGGTCTGGGACTGGAACTGTGCAGTTGGTGGTGTAGGATCCAGCTACCTAACCACTATGCCACTGACTGGCCTTATCTCTACTTTATTTAGGAAAAAAAAAATAGTAAGTGTATGTTCTCTGGCCCAACCCTGTGGCCTAGTGGTTAAAGGGAGTTAGATCCTACATGACCAACTGCAGCTTAAATCCTGGTCCCACTGACTTGAAAAACAAGGTGGACACATGCGCATGTGTGCCCAGTATGCTGACAGGATATTGAACTGGAGAAGGGATTGCAGTATGAGTGTTCCTCACTGGGGCTTTTTTAAATTTGCTATAGGGCACATGTACTTAATAGAGTGAAAAAGTGAGAAAGCAAGTCTCCAGGTACTTGAACCATGACTGGCCAAGTGGGAGTCTAGCACCTCAACCACCATTCCAGCTGCTGACTCCAAGAGGGGATATTTTCTTTTTAGGGATTTTTGCTATAGGGTGTGTGCGCTCACTGTAGAGAGAGACAGAAAGTGAAAAATTACCCCCTAAGGAAGATGGCCATGCTGCATTCCCTTCTCCATTCTCATCTTGGGATCTTGGGCATGCTTGCATATGCACCTGGCATGATTTTTTGTTGTTGTTGTTGTTTAAGAATTTTTTTTTTGGGGGGGGAGAGGTTTTTGCTATAGGGCACGTGCGCTCGCCAGAAAGAGACAGAGAGACAGAAAGAGAGAAATCACCCCACAGGGAGGATGGCCATGCTGCACTCCCTTCTCCATTTTCGCGGGATCTTGGGCATGCATGCACATTCGCCCAGCGTGAGTTTAAGCCACTGGGTTCAGGATTCGAAACACGGTCAACTACATGGGAGTCCAGTGACATAGCTATTACGCTGACTGTTGGTCCCAAGAATTATTCATTTTTAATTTTATTTATTCATTTATTTATTTATTTATTTTTGGAGAGGTTTTTTCACTATAGGGCGTGTGCCTTGCCAGACAGACATAGAGACAGAAAGTGAGAAATCACCCCCTAGGGGGCATGGTCATGCCGCAATCCCTTCTCCTCCATTCTCCTCTTGGGATCTTGGGCAGGCACGCACATGCCCCTGGCATGAGTTTTAAGCCACCGGGTCTGGGACGCGAACCGTGGTCGACTACGTGGGAGTCCAGTGACATAGCCGTTACGCTAACTGCTCGTTCCTATTTATTCATTTATTTTAATTTGATCAGGCATGCACACATGCGCATGCACACACACACACACATACACACACACACACAGAGAGGAAGAGGGAGAGGGAAAGTCAGAACGTAAGCCCCCAGGTCCAGGACTCAAACTGTGGTCAGCTGTATGGGAAGGTCCAGTCCCTTAACCACTACGACACTGCCCCCTCCCCCACTCCCATGAGTTTTAAGCCACTGGGTCTGATACTTGAACCATGGTTGACTACTTGGGAGGTCCAGCAATATAACCATTACTCTGTCTTCTGGTCCCAAGAGAGTATGTTTTCTAATAAGAGTTATACATATTTTATTTTATTTAGACTTTTGCCATAGGGCATTTATGCTAGCCAGAGAGAGACAGAGAGAGAGGGAAAGTGAGAAATCACCCTCCTGGGGGATGGCAACATCACAGTCCCTTTTCCTCTCTGAATTTTGAGCACACATGCACATGTGCCTTATGTGTTTTTTAAGCCACTGGGTCCAGGACACAGCCAAGGAGATGATCCTATGATTCAGTGCCTTAATAACCATGCCACCTGCTGGCCCAGATTTTACTTTTAAAAGCAGGGGCTTTTTAAAATTTATTTATTTATTTATTTTATTTAACATGTTGCTTTTGCTTTTATGGAGTTAACAGGTTTCTGATGAATGTTTTCCTGTCTCTCCACCCAGGTACTTTTCCTTGTATTACATGAAGGAAATGAGATACTAGAATTCCATCCCAGGCTACTGAATGAGCTAGTAGCTAGGTAAGAAAGAACCCTCTCCATTTAGATGATGCTGGAATTCAGCAGGTAGTGTTGGGAGCAGCTCAAAGAGATCGAAGATGACAGTGAAACGCAGTAACAATAATTGTAGCTAACTTTGGACTAAGTATTATGTTAAGCATTTTATTTGGATCATATTTTTTCTGAAATTTATCTTTTATGAGAGGGGGCAGAAAGGAGGAAGGAAGGGAGATGGGGGAACCCTTGGCTTGCAGTTGCCATGCTGAGATCTTCCCCCAGCTTTCCAGCCAGCCATGATCACAGGTCACAGGTATGTGCAGGTCAATGCAGGATCCAAATCTGGACCTTCCATGTGGCTCTAATATTGTGCAGTGGTGCCTTCGTATGTGCTAGGTTAGTGGCTGGACTTGGACCACCTTACCGTAAAATGTAACAACCGTATGACATAGGTATGGTGAGAAACAGCAGCGTAGGATAATGTGCGACCAGCGTAGACTCTGGGGTCAGGCCTCCTACACTGCTGTCTCAGCTTCGTCAGCAACTGACTGTGTGACCTTGACCTGTACCTTACTTTGCTCATCCATGTCTGTAAAGTGAGGGTAATAATGGTACCTACCTTGCTAGGTGGTTGCGACAGTTAAATGACATAGCCATATAAAGTGCTCAGCATAGTGCTTAGCACATAGCGCTTGCCAAATGTCGGCTGTAACTGCATTTTAAATAGTTGTTATCATATTAACAGAGGGAGAAGTAAAGGCCAGAGAGAGGTACAGTCACACAGCATATAAATGATGGAACCAGAATTCACACCTAGTCAGTCAAACTCCAGAGCTTTTCCTCTTAACTATGACACTGCATCACCTTAGTAAGTTGAGGGTGAGAGACTGGACAAGCACTGTGTCTTGTTGAACTTGAGATGAGTATAGCTGTCAGGGTTGTAACCTGCCTAATCTGTATTTGTGATTTTAAGCATCTTATCACCTTGATGTATGCCTTTATTATTCTCTTAGTGGATCAGAGAAATGAATGAGGGCTAGGTTCGTGGTGGTCTTCTGCTGAGAAATTGAGCATTCCCCGGGCCAGGAAAATAGAGCTAAATGAACACCTGCATCTCAGTGCTGCTTAGACCAGAATTAGGAGCTTGTCCAGTCTCTCCTGTTATTCTGCTTTTCTCTTTTTTAGTGGTAATGATGAGAACCCAAGCAGTGTGCACATTGAGAACTTTTTATGTATTATGTATTTATGTGGATTATCTCATTTAATCCTTAAAATGACCTTATAAGTCGGCACTCATCTCTATATGACAGAGTCAAAGAGAGATTAGGAAATTTGCTCGAAGTCATATGTAAGTAAGTGGTACAGCTGAGATCTGAGTAAGGCAGTCTGGCTCCAGAGATGCTTGTAATGTCTGTTTTCTGCTGCTACTTATTTTTTTAGAGAATTATTTAATTTTATTTATAATAATAATAATGCTTATTTTCACCATAACCCCAACCTAACCCTAACCTTATAATTATTTTTCTAGAGTGTTTTTTTCTTTTTTCTTGCCATAGGGCACATACGTTCACCCAAAGAGACAGAAACAGAGGGACAGAAAGCGAAAAATCACCCTCTGGGGGTTGGGGTTGGCCACACTGCAGTCCCTTCTTCTCCATTCTTCTCTCAGGATTTTTGACATGCACACATATGTACCTGGTGTGACTTTTAAGCTGCTGGGTCCCTGACTTGAACTGTGATAAGCTACATGGGAGTTCAGTGGTGTCACCATTACACCATTCATTGGTCCCTTATTACTATTTTTTAATTTGACACGAGAGAGAGATCGAAAGTGAGAAAGCAAACCACTAGGTTTGGGACTTGAAATGCAGTTGGCCATGTGGGAGTCCAGCGTCCCAACCTCGATGCCACCTGCCAGCCCCAAGAGGGTATGTTTTGTAATCAGAATAATAAAGGTTTTATTTTATTGGAGCCAAAGATAGAGTAGCGGTTACATCACTGGACTCCCATGTGGACAACCGTGGTTTGAGTCCCGGACCTGGTGGCTTGAAAATCACTGCTTCTAATCTAATACTGCTTCTAATTTTCTCTTACCTGTGTAAAGTGAGTAGTAATGGCTGTGCAGTTTAAAGACAGTAGAGCCAGTTCTGTTTTTCCCACCTGAAAAATGGGAAGATTTTGACCACTGGACTAGGAGGAATAAGGGGGCCTATGATGTTGTCTTGACCCATAAACCAACTTGCCATGTCTAAGACTTAGTCTTGTCTTAATTCATTAAACAAAATGATTACCCTTGATAGTCTGTAAGATCCCTTTGAACTTATTTAATTTCATTTGTTATCATTATTTTTTAATTTGACCAGACAGAGACAGAGAGAAAGGGAAAATGGAAAGCAAGCTACCAGGTTCAGGGTTCAAACCACAGCCATGTGGGAATCCGGCACCTTTAACCACTGTGCCACCTGCCGGCCTCCAAACTCTAATGTTCTTTGATTGATCATAGGAAATAGGGAAGGTTACACCAGCTCAGCACCTTGGGTTTGGGACAGTGATATTTACGAGGTCTTAGGAAGTTTGCTTTGTATAGGAAAATGCCAGATTTCTGGGCAAGAGCTGAGCTGCCTCCCTGTAGAAGGTAGTCTGGGCTCTTTTTTTTTTTTTAGGCTGGTTGCCACGGGAACTCAGCCTTTGGTCAGCAACAGCCAAGAATGCTTTGGTTAAAGCTGAGGTACAGATAACTAAAGCAGTGCATTTAGGTTTCATTCCCTGCCTCCGTGCCACCTCCACTACGATTTGTTTCTCTTTTCCTTTTCAAGTTGCTTTTTTGAACACTTTCATATGTTGGGCATTGTCTTAAGTCTTTAGCAAAGTATATCATTTAATCTTAATAATCTTAAAAGATAGGCATTATTGTTGTTCTAAATTTACAGATAATGAAACTGAGACAAGCAGAGTTAAATAATTTTCCCACATTTACTCTAGAAAAAGTAGTATTGGTCCAGCCAGTGCCATAGTGATTAAGCAGCCGGAGTCCTGGACCTGGTGGCATGAAAAACATTGTGGGCATGTATGTGTGTATGCCCAAAATCCTAGAAGGAGGGAGAAATGGGTGAAGAGATTGAGGCATGACCATCCCCCATAGGGATGCTTCTTCCCCCACTTCTGGTAAGCATACATCCTTCTAGCAAATTTTTTAAAAAATAAAGAAAAGTAGATTCAAAGCAGTGATTTTAGGCACTAAGTTGTATTGCCTGGTTATAGATTCTTAAAAAAAAAACAAATGGGCTGGCAGGTGGCATGGTGGTTAAGGATGTTGGACTCCCACATGGTTGACCATGGTTTGAGTCTGGGACCTGGCAGCTTGCTTTCTCACTTTCTCTTTCTCTCTCTGTCCCTCTCTGGTCAAATTAAAATAAATAAATACATAAATAAAATAAAGTTCAATAAAATAATTCTTTAAAAAAACCAAACAGGATTCTTTAGTTATTTACTAGTGGGTTTTGTTTGCTTTGTTTTTCTTTTATCTAGAACAATATAGTCTTGGAGCTGAAAGAGTTTTGAGGTTATTTAAGACAATCTACTTGTTTTTAGTCTGCCACCCAATTATATGCATGCTTCCTGTCATCCCCCTGACAGATGATAATCGGAGTTCTCTTCAAATACCTTCTTTGATAGGAGAGCTTATCCCTTCTTGAGGTTGTTCATTATGTTGTTGAATGGATACTCGCCCTCATTGATAGAAAATTATTTCTTGTTTTGAATTGAATTCTAATTGAGACTTATTAATTGTAGGCCAATCCCTCGGAACTATACAGGATAAATAAATCCATCTTCCACATTCCAATCTTGTGAACCTTAGAAGACAATCTTTCTATTATAAGGTATATTTGCAGTTTTTACAGAGTATTTAAACTTGCTTTCAATTAGATCTTATGTACAAAAATATTCACTACCTGTCACTACTTTGCAAATGCAGCCTAACAAATCCATGTTTCATTTCTATGATTATTTAGCCACAAAGGGAGCCCTTCCCACTTAGTTGAAAAATGAAGAGATGGTGAGCCAAGCTTTTACAATGGCATGTAGTTGTGGAGGGTTTGTAGTCGCCTACTCTTGTCATCTCTGAGAGGTCAGGCTGTTGCCCTGCATACTCTGTGAGAGCTCACAAAATGGCTGGAAGTTTATCCGGGCACTTGACGAACTGCATTTACTTCATCAGGCCACTAGGTGATGAACAACTCCTAAGCCCAGGCTGCCAGAGACTATTGTATACAGGATAGCTTCTGTTTGTACTTGGAAAGGCTGTCAGAAGTCATCTGGTCCAGCATCATTAAAAAGTTTTCTTGGGGGAAGGAAAACATATGTCTCTTGTATACTTTATTTCCAGGCTTTATTCCAATTTTAAATATTAATTTGGATGGGACCTTTCTTTGATTTTCACAGAAGGGGGGCATGTGTATACTTTCAAAGTCTTTTATATGTCCAGTTTTTTTTTTTGTTTTTTTTTTTTTAACCTCCATGTATTAATTAATGCCTTGGACTTCTGAAACTTGTCCTAATCTCTGTAGTCTAAGCAGCTTTCTACTCTTAAATTTCTGGTGATAAAGGTAAGAAGTCCGCTGCCAATAAGTTTTTTCTTTTTCTTTTTTCATTTTTTCATGTTAGAGTTCAGGTGTGCACACAAAGAAAGAACACCTTGCACTGGTCACGATCCCCTTCCTCTAATCCTCTAACCCATCAGGTCTTGAGCACTCTTGGATGCACATGACATGTTTTAGGCCAGGCAGGCTGGGGATTTGAGCCATGGTTGCACTCTGGGATCTGGCTGCTCTTGAGAAGTACATTACCACTGTGCTATGGAGCTGACCCCTGAATAGAATTCTTTTTCTCTTACTGGAAGTTTGTAATTTTTTTTTTTCTTTTTTTTTTGCTATAGAGTGCGTGCACTTGCCAGAAAGAGAGAGGCAGAAAACGAGAAATCATTCCTCAGGGAGATGGCCACGCTGCAATCCCTTCTCCTCCATTCTCCTCTTGGGATCTTGGACATACACGCACACATGCTTGGCATGAGTTTAAGCCACCGGGTTCAGGACTTGAACCGTGGTCGACTACATGGGAGTTCAGCAACATAGCCATTAGGCCAACTGCTGATCCTGGAAGTTTGTGATTTTTAAAAATTTAATTTTTTTTTAGTTGTAGGGCATGTGTACTTGCCAGAGAGAGAGATGGGGGAGAAGGTATGGGGGGAGGAAGAAATTACCCCCTGGCCAAGGGGATAGCCACACTGCAGTCCCCTGTCCTCCATTTCTCTCTGGGGATTTTGGACACACATGTACACATATCTTGTGTGATTTTTAAGCTGCCAGGTCTAGGACTCGAACTGCACAGTTGGCTGTGTAGGATCCATCTGCCTCATCCTCCACACTACCTGCTGGCTCAGTTTAAACAATTTTTTTGAATTCTTAAGAGTTTCAACAGAGTATGCTAAGATTTGTATCATTTAAAATAACCCTGGGCTTGGGACCAGCAAATGGCGTGATGGTTACACTGCCAGACTCCCATGTAGTCAACCTCAGTTCTAGTCCCAGACCCAGTGACCTAAAACATGCTGGGCATGGAGTGTACGAACCTAAAATCCCAAGAGGAGAATGGAAGAGAAGGGATTGTAGTGTGGCCATCCTTCTGGGAGGTGATTTCTCACTGTCTGTCTCTCTGGTGTGGGTCTCCAGCAAGCGCATGCGCCCTATAGCAAAAATCCCTCTCTCTAACAAAACAAAACAAAGCCCTGGACCATTCTCTTCCCCACATGGGTGTCTTGTCATTTTCCCCTTTTCTCTCTCTTTGTCTCTCTTGTGAGTGCACACACCCTGTAACAAACAAAACAAAACAAAGCAAAACCCAAACAACTTTGCTTGATACTTTATGAGCCATTTAGATTTAAAAACTTAAATCCTTTTAGGCCAGTAGGTGGCATGGTAGTTAAGGAACTGGATCCTACATGGCTGGCTGTACAGTTCAAATCCCAGATCACGTAACTTGTGAGACACACTGGATTCATGTGTGCCCAAACTCCCCAGAGGAGAATGGAGGAGAGGGGATTGCAGCATGGCCACACACCCCTGCCCCAGGAGTGGTTTGTCACTCTCTACCCCATCCCATCCTCCCCGGCAAATGCATGTTCCCTGTAGCAGAAAGACTGAAAACCAACTAACCAGCAAAAACCTGGAGTCCTTTCTCAGTTCAGTGACATCTTACTTCTCCCCTTCTTTCTGTTTTCAGCCTCCTTACTTTACAAATGAGGAAATAAACTGAGCCTAGAAGGGTGACTTGCCTAAGATTACATAGGTAATTACAAATGAACCTCAAGCAAATAACCTGACTCTTGATGAACTTGACTTTTATTGTATTAAATATTATTCCTGAGAGAGGCCCATTATTAACAGCGTGGAAATTTGTTAGTGAAACAGGAATTTTGCCATAGGGATATGAAGAAGGAAGATAAAGTGGTGTATTTTATTACAGTGAAAATGTGGCCCATTTGATGGGACAAAGGATTGACAATCCCTTAGTACCTCAGTTATTGGATGGAGCCTACCCCAAAGTTCTGAAACGTAATAAAACAGGAAGTTGCTTGAGCACTTGGGAGAATTGCTATTTAGTAGTCAGGAGTTGGATAATTGTGACCATGCCCTGTTGTAAATATTGGAAAACATATGAATGGCGTCTGAAGGCTTGGAGACAGACATCATAAACCGTGTCTTATCAGTGGTCTGGTTTCTGTTTTGAGTTCCAGCCTGGGACCCTTTTCTGCTGGGAACCACCTGTTCCTGGCTGATCTTTGGATTTCCCCAGCCCTTCAATCCCTTTCAGTTTTGAAATGAAACCTACTCTAGAGGGTGAGGTCAGGTACGGAGAGGACTTTGACAGCTCACACCAGAGTGTTTTCTTATTCAGAACTGTTTGGTATGTGACTGAGTGAGGCGGAAGGCCCAGCAGCCTGTGATAGCTACCAACTGGTGGTGAACCAGCTTTTGGGTAAGGCCTAGCAGTGTCATTTCTTTGGGTAGCCAGGAAAACACTACCAAATAGTATGTTGTCTTTCATTAATAGAAAGTTGACAGTTAAGAGCATAGTCATCAAAAACTGCCCATGACCTCTTTTCCTTTGGTTTGCTGAAGAAGGAAAGGCTTTATTTCAGCTTTTTCCTCCTCATATGTGAAATTTTACATACTTTATATTTCAAGTCTCTAGCCTCCTCTTACTTCTACTAAACCTCTTGGAATTTCTGTTTTGTGAAGTGATTTTTCTAGATACCTCTACAACAGCCTCTCTCCAGCCAGGCTTTTCACAGAATACAGCTTGCCTTACTCCCGTTGTTGTAAACCTGATCTCCACCAAGTACTTCTCTTGGAATCTTTCCAAGTAGAACTAGCTCTTCAGCTAACCCCACTTATCCCTAAACTTTGCCTGACTGTCCCTATCCCCATTCCTTAGTACTCCAGACCTTCAAATACCTTTTTCCCTTTGAGATTTCTGCTAGCCAGCAGGGCCACCTGATCCCTGTCTGAAGCTGGCATTTACACCCATTTCCCCCATGTTTGTTTAAGACTGTGGTGTCTGACCTCCTCTCCTGGGGCTGTGGTGCAGACCAGGGGGATTGGTGTCAAGGCTGGCTTGGGGGCAAGGATTCAGGGTAGAGAATAGAATTAGAGGGCCTGGTGTTAACACTTTAAATGCAGGCAAATGGTAAGCCAGAAGATGTATATATCAAGGCCAGTGGGAAATACAAAGAAAATTTAATATATGGGACCAGTAGGTAGTGGTGGTGGTGATGGAGGCTGGATCCCACCTGGCCAGCTATGTTATTTGAGTCTCAGACCCAGTGCCTTGAAAAACATGCTCAGAGTTTGTTTGTGTATATGTATGTGTACACTTCAAATTCCAAGAGGAAAATGGAGAAGAAGGGATTGCTGAGTGGCCATCCCCCCTGGAGGGCACATTCTCACCTTTTTTTTTTTCTCTCTCTCCCCCTACAGCCTCTGCAAGCACACATGCCCTGAAGCAAAACTAAAAAAAAAAAAAAAAAATTAGTATCTGAAGCAAAAGATATCATTTGTAGGCTTCCTCTCCTGCCCTTTTTTTTTTTTTTTAGATTTTCTTTTTTAAATATATTTTTTAAAATTTAACTTTATTTATTTTTATTTATTTTAATTTGACCAGAGAAAGAGAGGCAAAGTGATAAAGCAAGCTGCCAAGTCCAGGACTTGAACCACAGTTGGCCATGTGGAAGTCTAGCACCCTTAATCACCATACCACTTGCCAGCTCCAGAGATTTTTGCTATACGATACATATGCTCACCAGAGAGAGAGAGAGAGAGACAGAGATACAGGAAACGAGAAATCACCTTCTAGAGGGGATGGCCATGCCGTGATCCCTTCTCCTCCATTCTCCATTTTCCTCTCAGGATTTTGGGCACATATGCACATGTGCCCGGTATGAGTTTGAAGCATATGGGTCTGGAACTTGAACTGTGATTGACCATGTAGGAGTCTAGTGACATAATCGTTATGCCACTTGCTGGTCCCCCTACTCATTCTTTTTGAAAAAATATTTTTTAATTTAAAAATTACTTTTTACTTTTAATAATCTTAAAAAAAATCAAGCATCTTAGAACATGTTTTAACTTTTACTGTTCGCCTTCCCTTTGCAATTATTCTGTATTCCTTAGAGTTATCATGCTAGTAGTTTTGGATGTACCTTCCAGATATTTTTCTGTTGTTTTCATACATATGTGTGAACCCAGAAAAAATTCGAAGTGTTGTTTTGTGTTTTGTTTATACAAATAATAATCACATTTTATGTATCATACTGCTCTTTTCTTTTGATTCAATAACGTGCCTTTACTTGTCCACATTAGAACATAAAGGTGTATCTTATTTTGTTTGGCTGCTGTGTAGGATTTGATAGAAAGGATATATTTTTATTTAGCTATTTTCTTTCATTCCCCCTCCCTCCCTCCCTCCCTCCCTCTCTCCCTCCCTCCCTCTCTCTCTCTCTCTTTCTCTCTCTTTCCATTTCTTTTTAGTTTGAAAGAAGGCATGGGCACTCACCAGAGAGAGAAAGGGAAAGTGAGACATCATCCCCCAAGGGGGTTAGCCACACCACGGTTCCTTCTCCTTCAGTCTCCTCTCAGGATTTTGGACATGCATGCACACATGCCCAGAATGTTTTTCTTTTATTTTTTTTTGTTTTTTGTTTTTTAAGAATTATTTTTATTTAACTTTATTATTATTATTAGTTTTAATTTGACCAGAAAAAGACACAGAGAGAGACCGAGAGAGAGAGAACAATTTTAATTTGACCAGAGAAAGACTCAGAGATAGAGAAAGTGAGAAAGCAAGCTGCCAGGTCCAAGACTCAACGTGTCAGCCGTAGGAATCCAGCGTCTTTAACCACCGTGCCACTTGCTGGCCCCCATGGCATGTTTTTCTTTTTTTGAAGATAGTTTATTTTCTTTTTTGCTATAGGGAGTTTGTGCTTACTAAAGAGACAGAAAGTAAGAAATCACCCCCAGGGGGAATGGCCATGCAACTATTCCTTCTCTATTCTCCTCTTGGGATTTTGGGCATGCATGTACACACACCCAGTGTGAGTTTCAAGCTGCTGGGTCCGAGATTTGAGCTGTAGTCAGCCACGTGGGAGTCCAGTGCCTTAACCACTACGCTACCTGGTGGTCCCACCCGACATGTTTTTTAAGCTGCCAGGTGTGGGATACAGACTGCAGAGAATCATAGGGGTTCCAGCGTGTTCACCACTGTGCCATCAGCTAGCCCTATTTAGCTATTTTTCTATCAAGAGGCATTGAGATATTTCTAGGTTTTGTGATTATAAATTATTCTTGTTGTGTTTTAAATGTTAGTGATCTGTTCCTAGGTCTTTCTCCCGTATTCTTTTCCTTATACTCTTCCTAGATAATCTCAGCCTCTCTATGACAGCTTCAGTTACCATCTACACATCGATGATTCCCAAATCTTTCTCCAGACCAGAATATCCATCTGCTCACATGGACATCACCATGGAATGTCTTACAGACATTACAAAATGCAGCCCTTCGTTTTTTCCCGCTTGCTCCTTCTCCAGTGTCCTGTCATACACATTATAAAAATAGCATGCAGCAGCTGAAGCCCAAATCTAGTAGCTATTGGTAAGTCCTTCCCTCTCTTCCCAAATCTGACATACCTGTCAATCACCAGGACTTATTCTTCCTACTGCCTCAGTTCAAATACCCAGGTTGGCCTGAAAACATGCCAGGTGCATGCATGTATGCACAAGATCATGACAAGCTGAAGGGCCAGGGAAAAGGGATTGTGGAGTGATGAGACTTTGTCAAGAGTGCTTCTCTCATTCTCTCTATATATCTGTCTCACATGTGCTATCATATATAAAATAAGCTTTGAGGAAAAAAATGCTAAAAGATGATTTAAATACTCACCAAGGTTATTTATGATCTTAATTCTGAATTGCTTACCCTGTCCCTTCTTACACTCCACCCACTGAATTCTCTAGGTTTCTGACCTAATGATTCAGCTTCCTGTTTTGGCCTTGCCTCACCTTATCCCTCAGGCCTTTTGCTTTCTTCCTTGCTTTGAACTCCTCTCCACTCTCAGTCACTCTACCCTTAGCCACCTAGTATAAATAATCTGCCTACCAGATCCTCAACCTTTATCTTCAGCACACATGCTCCTTTCACGGACAAGTCTCTGTCAGGTTTATCCCGGTCTCATGAACATGACTCGGAGAGAGAGAAGCATGTTACAAACATGGGAACACCAGTGATGATCAAATAGGAGAAGAATGACAGTGAGCCAAGGCCCAAATGTTTAGACCACACCCTGACACCCTGAAGTAAACCTTCCTAGCCCTTGGATGCTGCCCCTGGTACTCCATTCCCCTCTTACTATGCCAGCCTCAAGGATCCATCCAGCCACTTCTAATTAGCTAGGACTAAGAATGCATGGTGAGTGTGACACAGGCCTTTTCCCCACAGAATTGATAGTCTAGTGAAGAACAAAGACAATTATAGTACTTATGGGGACCAGCAGTTAGCGTAATGGCTATGTCGCTGAACTCCCATGTAGTCGACTGCGGTTCGAGTCCCAGACCCAGTGGCTTAAACTCACGCTGGGTGCGTGTGCGTGCGCGTGTGTGCCCAACATCCTGAGAGGAGAATGGAGGAGAAGGGATTGCAGCGTGGCCACCCCCCTGGGGATGATTTCTCACTTTCTGTCTCTCTGTCTCTCTCTGTCTTCCTGGGGAGCACACACGTCCTATAGCAAAAACCTCACCAGAAAAAAAAAGAACCAAAATTAAAAAATTATAGTACTTATGATACTTAGGGGCAATGCACACAGAGCTGTAGGAATAAGAAGGCTAATCAGGTTATACATAAACTGTAACCTGAAGAATGAATACGATATATCCAGGCAATGGCAGGGCATTCAAGGAAAAGTGTTATAGGTGCGAGAAACAGTAAATGCAAAGGCTCTGAAGCAGGAAAGTACATCTAAAGAGATGGGATGAGGGGTTTACTAAGCTGGACTCCCACATGGCTAACATGTGATTCCAGTCCCAGACCTGGCAGCTTGCTGTCTTGCTTTCCTCTCTTTCCC